CGTTTCAGGCTTGATTTCAGACCACAATTTTTTTATGATAGTCTCGAGCCCGTATGCTGTGCTGAGACGGTGATAAGTTAATTTTTTATCGATATAATCCCATAAATTTTCTATTGAATTGAGGTCGGGGGAAGTTGCTGGCCATCCCATAAGCTTGTATTTCTTTTTTTGAAACCATTGTTTACTAAATTTGCACGTGTGGCACGGGGCATTATCTTGCATGAAGTACCATTTTTGTCCAGGTTTAAATCGTTTTTTGATAAACAATGGCAAACTTAGATTCAACATGTCGATATACTTTTTTCCATTCACTCGCCCCTTGTATACGACCAATGGACCGATACCTTCAGCCGTCATACACCCCCAGACAAAGACGCAGCCCCCTCCTCCTTGTACACGAGCACGAAAGTTAAACGGTTTATCTTGCTCAGATCGAAGATGACGAACAAATTTTTCGATTCAATACCTCAAAATGAGATTCATCAGAGAATACCACACATTTCCAATCATTATCGGACCAGTATTGATGTTCACGAGCAAATTTTAAACGTACGTGATGGTGACGTGCTTTTCGAAACGGCTTTCGTTTCGTAACGTAGCTCCTGTAACCCGCCTCATCCTACCGATTTCGTACCGTACGCGGTGTAACGACCTTCCCATTCGACAGAACCCATTCAGAAACCAATTTCCGACCAGTTTTATGACGGCCTTCTTTACATAAAGTGAGTAATCGACGCTCTTCTCTTTTGATTGTAGCACGGTTACGACCTGGACCCGGACGCTTAACTACTCCAATCTTCTGTTTTTCCTTCTTAGTTACGTTTTGAACACAATGTCTCGACATACCAGCCTGTTTAGCAACATATCTTTGGGAAAATCCAGCACGTAATAGTGCGCAAACATTGTTTATTTGAGTTAAAGTAACTCTTTTACGACCCATTTTACATACGTGTAGATGGAGAAAAGAAGAAATGTCGAACGCTATTCTAAGTTAATTTCATTCATCATATGGGAAGAAAACATGCACAGGTAGACGAAAGAAAGCAATCATATGCTTCCGAGACATAAAATCACGTGGAAACGAAAAAATTGGGCTAAATAGGCTAATGTGGCTCTATAATTTTTTCCAACAAAAAACAAGCATCTTTTTGTAAAAAATCTTTTGTAAGAGAAACAAAGATTTCTATATTTTTTCAATAACATATTTGAAAAGAGCAGACTTAAATGCATATACTCAAGTGTTTTAATCTATCTCAGATCGTTAATTAACAAAATAAATAAAAGTTAAAGAGTAGGCTCGAATCTGGCTCTATAATTTTTTCCAGTACTGTAGTCCATCTCCACTTTTGAACGTAATAATTGTGCCTTTGAATAAAATTCAGTTTTAGGCAATAAAATCGCATATTGTTTTTATCCTAAGTGGTGAGAAAAATTCTTTTTCAAGAATAAGAAGGTTTTTTGCATCCACGAAAAATGTAAAATTCAATTTGTTTCACTCAATTTCAGCTTCTAATAAAAACTAATACCATATTTGTTATCTACGAATAGGTAATCTAAGAAAAAGAACATCATACAGAACGAGAATCATTGCTCTTCACATAAGTTATTCTTTGACAATTGATTCTTTTTGAATGAAACTTGAATAGCATAGTCCCTTTCATTATATCTGATGATATGTGATGATCATGCGTCAAACAGGACACTTAAATATCTACATGGTCTGTGTACTCAGCACATTCTTCTTCTTTTAATAGAAGATATTTTCATCAAATGGTCTCTTTCAGTCATTCAAATGGTATCTTGAGTGCGTTATCCTGAATATTTTGTTTATTGTGGAAGCATAAGAAGGAGTTTATGCAGTAGTAATAGTAACCAAAGAGAAAATTGAAAACAAATTTATTCTACATGAACATTTGGAAATAAAAGAATTTTTCTCATGGAATTCATTACAAAAGATTTGTTTTTGCTTTTAAAAATATAATTGAATATTACTTTACGGTAATTGATCATCCTGATTCCAATAATATGAGGTACACCTCTTTTTGTTTTATGCTTACGGCCCACCTCCACCTCTTGACCTTGATTTTTTCGATTTTAATTGGCCAAGTCCCTAAGCTTCTGTGCAACTTTATGCGGCAGTCAGTGTTGGTTTCCGGTATGTGAGAGTGAAATTTAGTATGAAGTTTTAGTGACTGAGAATAGAAATACCTACGAGCGCATACACGAAGCGAGCACGAAAATACTAAAAAATTGAATCAACCGATTGCGCCGTGAATTCATCGGAGTTATTCAAAAAAGAAATTCCAAGACAGTATTTTGCGAGGGAAAAACCAGCAAATCAGATACCAAGCTTCTGCGCTTCTGAGCAAGCCACCACGAACGGGATGGAAGTCCATGTACAATCAGCAAACCATAACAAATTTATGTGTGATGTTTCAGTGATGTTCGGACTGAAACTCCAGCCCACTCTCCCACACACAAAAATTCGCTATGCGGACGGAACCGGATAGAGGATTCTCCGAGGGCCAGAATCTTTTTATACTGATAAGTATGTAAACTAGATGATATCGACGGGACGAGTGTTCCAGTGACTTTTGACTATCGACGGGACGAGTACTTTCAACCATCCTTGACAGTGGCGGATTTAGGGTGCTGGCGGCCGCCAGCACCGAAATTTTTAATTTCATACTATTATACTCTCCTTCTTGTGCAACATAGTAATAAAGTAAAAGAAGTAAACATCGTGTCGTCTAGAAACTCATAAGCAAAGTTGTTAAACTTGCTCTTTTGTCCAAATCCGCCAGCACCGAAAATTTTTTCTGGATCCGCCACTGATCTTTGGCTACGTAGTTGAACGTCATTGCAGACGAAAAAAAGTCAAAAAAATAGTATTTTTTTTTTAAGGAGACCAGAGGTTTGAAAAAAATATGTCGCTCCGAAAAATGCTGAAAAACATGCCATTCAATGCAGTTTTTCACGCTGAGTCTGAATATGTATAAATATTGAAGAAAAGAGTGGTTTTTCGAGGTGTAACGTGTGGAAAACGGCGAAAAACCAAGCATTTTTGGAAAACCTATATCTTCAGCCTATAGTGACTTTGCGCTAACTTTATATATGTGCTTCATATAGATGAACCTTCGGTAAAAAATTCATCAGGATTTGACTTAAAAGATCCAGCGGAAAAGATCTGACCTGAGCTTTGGTTCCGTGACAGGTTTTCCAGAGATTCGCTAAAAAATCGTATGCATAAACTGAAAACCCTATGTAGTTTTTCGGTTCGATCTACATTCTATCATTTCCATAGGTATACGTTCCCCGATCTTCTCTTTCGAATAGTGAAATCCGCAGGTCTCTATCACCTTTCATTCAAAAGTTATAAGCATTTTGCTCAATTTTCTTTTTAAATTTCGATAATAGTGATTTTGAACCCTCCCATTAGCGCAAAATGGACTTTTTATATGGAGAACAGAATCGGTTCAAATTCTTTTTCTAAAGAGCTTATTATATGAATCGACGGTCAGCAAAGTATCTCTCGATTCAAATCACTTTTCGCAATCTGGCGCGAATAGTGGCGCCACTTAAAACGCGCTACTATTCGCGCCAAAATGAATGAAATACTCATTTTTTACGAAAGAAAAAAGTGACAGTTGGGAAATGTTTTCTTTCGTGATTCCTCATGATACTAGTAGATAGTCCGAATACACATGCACATGCACAGAAGTCTCTTCATTAACATCAACAGTACTGTCAATATTATTTGTAGTATATGGAACCTCCTTAAATTTTCGATTATACATGTTTGTACCGGTTTATAAGTGAAAATAAGAGTATAACTTATTTTGAAAGTCACTTTGATATGTTGATACAAAGAGGCGAAATAAGTAATGATAAGAGATGGTTAAAAGGAAAACATATGATAGCATAGCTAAAATAATCAACTATTACAATTAATTAGTACTTAATTAATTAATAGAATTATAAAAATAGAATAAAAAAAGAAATCAACAAAGAGACCGCATGATGATCATACCTTAGACAATGCGATATGTAAACCTCTGTAGACATTTCTAGAAAAATTAAAAACAGAAGAAAGTTCTTTTCAATTGTATTTGGCAGCTGTAAATGCCGGCCAAGAAGCAAAAGTTCAACAGAAATGTTATGCAGATCATAATAAACGTTTAATAAATCTAACTAAATATTCTCATTTCAATATGGAACAACAAATAGCTGCTAAATCTCATAATATCCATTTATTAATTTATGTTTCAAATAAAGCAGTTTCATTGATAGATAACTGAGATAGATTCAGTTGTCTTACTGGTATTTATCTGTAGCTGAAGTAATCTTTTGTGTTCATCTTTGATATTTCTCTTGTTCTATATACTGCAACTAATATTGATGATTCACCTTTTAGAAAGTTCGAGGAGATTTCTATTCAAGGAAATTCTGTTCGAGAAAATATCATCCGAGCAAATTTTCCCCATTCGCAAAATTTGCATCTTAGCCATTATAGCACAAACTGCCAGTTTAGCAATTTTTCCAAAAGAAAAGTCGTTCGTTGTTCTGTTTCTCTTGACGATGATTCATAAAAACATTTAAATTCACTTGTTTATTTTTACGTTAGAGTGAGTGTTCTTTTTTCGTGTCTATTGAAAAAGTCATTTTTGCTTTTTTTTAAAGGAAACAATTAAGGTCTCACCATTAAATGGCAGGACTTTTGAAAATATAGAAATTTTCCATAATTTTAACAGTCTCGTTCATTTATTAATATAAAATAATATAGAAGTTTCGAATCTACCGATTCATCATCAGTATAAAATCAGTCTGATTTTATACTGACTGGAAATGTCTATATTATTTTATTTTAATAAATGAACGAGACTGCTAAAATTATGCAAAATTTCCGATGAAAATCTTTCTACGGAAAAAAACGAATAATTTTGATTTCTAATATTTTGTATGTATATAGACAAATAGATAGAAAAAGAATAGAAAAGGAAATGACATCTATTACACCATTACAAAATTCGATAATTGATGTAACATTACTTACTGATCCGATCACACTTGATTTATATAAAGATCCAGTGATAGCAGAAGATGGACATACGTATGAACGTGAAGCAATTTTACAATGGATAAGGGAAAAAGGCAATAGTCCATTCACACGACAACCATTAGATATTAATAAGTTACATCCAAATATAGAGATAAAACGACAAGTTGCTGAATATATAAAATTAGAATATGGCGGAGTAAGATCCGGTACGGTAAACATATTGTATCTTTTTTGGTTTTCTTATTTGTTTGCACTCGTTACTAATTACAATTCCTCTTTTCTCTAATTTTCTTGGCAACGCCCAAATATAAACGTCCGGAAAAGCCTCGAGTAAGTCATCTTATCTTACTACACTGAAAAGCAATTGTTCTAGATATAGTAAATCGAATTAAAGAAGAAGAGTCAATCTATATGGACTCTGCATAACACATTTCAGAAAAAGTACTGGAGCTGGTGACATTTGGTTTAATGCGTCATTTTGTACATTGCTATCTTTTTCAAAGAACGGTGCACTTTTGTATTTTGCGGATAACTTTTAACGAAAAGAGTTAGAGTCCTCCGGTTTTTAGTCACTTAAACCAGACACCGGGGCACATAGATCTATAAAATAAAGAAGCAGCTCTCCCGTGGTGTATCTTTTGAAGGAAAAAGTCCGAGCTCACCGCTCGTAAACTTTACATAGTGAGTTAGATTCAAATTCAAAAAACTATCAGACACGCTAATTATCGTGGCAATGTTTGTTTTGTTGTTCGGATTAAGGAAACTGTAATAGATCAATATTTCAGAAAATACGATTTTTCCACTGTCACCGTACTAAATTAAAAACTTTATAGCGCCTTCATTCTTCAACAAAATTGCTTCATATTCTCAAAATAAACTTGGTTTAAAGTGTTTCATCACATCACACAGACAAAAGTGCGAAAACTCTATGGTACCTTGAAAGGTTTTCCAGAAGACTCCTGAATATCTTCAGGAAAAATAACAAAAAAAAACAAAAGCAAGTTTTTTGAAGAGTGAAGGCGCTATAAAGTTTTTAATTTAGTACGGTGACAGTGGAAAAATCGTATTTTCTGAAATATTGGTCTTTTGCAGTTTTCTTAATCCGAACAACAAAACAAACATCGCCACGGTAATCAGCGTGTCCGATAGCCTAGATGCCATGTGTTTTTAAGGTTCTTAGAGTTTAAGTTTGGTCGATAGGGAGGTCCTCGGAGATGGCCTGTGGTGTACGAACCTTGATAGATGGCGCTCTACGACTTGTGTCATTGTAAAGACGGAAGTCTCTTATATATAACAGACAAATTTTGAACCTAACTCACTATGTAAAGTCTACGAGCGGTGAGCTCGAACTTTTTCCTTCAAAAGATACACCACGATAGAGCTGTTCTGGAAGCTTCTTTATTTTATAGATCTATGTGCCCCGGTGTCTAGTTTAAGTGACTAAAAACCGGAGGACTCTAACTCTTTTCGTTAAAAGTTATCCGCAAAATACAAAAGTGCACCGTTCATTGAAAAAGATAGTAGTTGTGCTAGGACCTGATCGAATGGCGAAAGCCTGGCTATAGCCGTATTAACTTATATAACTTGCTCTAGAAACAGGAATATTTCTATAACTCTTCTATTTGTCGCTGATATTCGCAAAAAATTTGGGCTTTTCATCTCTGAATTATTGAATCTGAGAGCTATTGAATTTTTAAATTTGTCAAAGGTTTCGCCCTTGGACAAGTTCACAATAAAAGAGCTACAAAATTGTTAATTCTTTACAAAAACTATTGAAACTTTCAGAACGGAGATGATTTCAACTAGCACATGCTGCAATAATCCAAGTTATGTAATTTGATGTTGCACAACTGATGTTTTTGATTTTGAGGAGGCCTTTAGAAACCCATGTAATCCTCAATCAGCTTGAAGTTAATTTTTTTTTTTCACAATAAACATAATAAAACATCAAAACTATCGCAGTTCTTAAAGTTTCAATAGTGTTTGTAAAGAATTAATTCTATCATTTTGAACATGTCCAACGACAAGTCATAGCAAATTTAAAAATTCAATAACTCAAAAACAGAATGAGATGAAAGCTGAAACTTCTTGTGGATATCAAAAACATATAGAAGAGTTACAGAAAAGAAATTGAGTTCGCAGTTGTTTTTCTTGAGCACACGGTTACAACATTCTATGATTCCTAAGACTTGTCCAGAGGTGCAGAATCTACTCTTGAGTTTGAAAGTTTTCCACGAATGGTAAAAGTTTTGGAAAATTTACTACCAGCAAATTTACTACGTTTACTTCCTCCAAAATGGTGTTTACATCTGCTTAATGTACTGACAAAGTATGACACATCATTCTCATGTTCAGCATTCGTGTTCTGATATATACCTTCTTAGTAACTATTTACGCTTCATCGTATGTCTTACTATTTGGATATAGAAGTTTCTACAATTTTTGCTTCGAAGGACCAGCGCTGACTAGCTTTTTTGATTTTATATAATTAAAAAAGATTTTTAATTTAATATAATTTATCCCTCTTTTCTCAGGGAAAAACACCGAAAAAAATTCTATAAATTTTGAAAGAAGCAATAAAAACAGATATCTTTTTATGCTTTTTAATTGTTTGCTGTTCTCTACTGATCGACATACAAAATCATTGAAAATAGAGTGTATCAACTGAACATGTTCCCTTTTTAGAGGCGTAGTATCTAGTCTACTTTTGAAAAAAGCCCTAATGTTTTGCTCATTCACATCATACCATTTTAGATCGAACAACTAACTGTTGAAACTGTTGTACAAATCCAACAAAATTTTCAACAACAACAACAGCAAGGAAACGCCTTATATTTACGAATTCGGCAAATTATGCAAAATAGTTCATGTAAAACTGGTTTTGCTGTTTTCTGTATCGGCGGATTACCTATACTTATTTCTTTGCTTGTCTGGTTTCTACGGTATTCCATTCTCTAACGTTCAGAGGTAAGTTGAAAAATTAGAACATTCAAAAGTTTACCTTTCTGGATCCACAATCGAACTAAATGTTGATTATTTGAGTATATTCATAGACTAACTCCAGTTGGTTTTAAGAGAGCATCCATCAACAGGCGGACTATAACCGACACCTGTTCAATCTCAAATTTCCTCTTTGTATGCTTTACATTAAGAAGTCAACATTTTACAATACTTCTTGGTTTTTGAGAGAGTTCTCTAGAGATTCCTTAGAAAATTTTTTCTTGTTGAAATGTTTTAGAGATTTTATATGGCACAAAGCTTTATCACACTACACTCTGTTCGCACAATAATAATTTTCAGGTTAGCACAACCATCGGTTTTGACGATCCAACGTAATTTTTCTCTTAAATATGCTGTAATATGCGGTTAAAGTGAGCAGCGATAACAGTGCTGTTTAACTCTGTCAGGTTGCTCATTAATGAACTGAAAATTTCAGATAAGGCACAATCTGATTAGTTTTCACATTTTTAGCACTTTAACTTGAAGAAATTCTACAAAACCAGCCGCCGTACGTGGTCCTATATCTTGGTCATAGATCAAAATAAAAAGTTATAAAAAAAGACGTCGACCACACTGCAGTGAGCAAACACTTTTAGCCTGTTCTGACACTTTTTATTCAATGTCATATATACATCATCCGATAGATAATCGATCAATGTAGATAGAACCAAACAAATTTGAGAAGTCTTTTAGTTAGTCTGTCAAAAGCTGCAAAATCAGAGGGCGCGGAATGATTTTGAAACTAAGGGTACTCAAGGACGAGAACGCAAAGAAAAAATAAGTTTCTGCTGGAAGAAAACGAAAATTTTCAAAATCCGTGAGCACAGGATATAGCCATCGACAGATGTCACACTTCGTGTAAGCTGTTCTCTTCAGGGAAACATTTACAAATCGAGAAATTTTGGCTTTCTTAGTTTTTAAGATGCTTGTCGATCCCGCATACAAAGAGCAAAATCTGAGATTGAATAGGTGTCATCTATGACCAGTTGACCATATGGATGCTCTCTTCACTTTCATTCAGTCTCTGATCAATAAGTATACGTCGTGTTTGATCATCTAAAATCATATCGAAAAAACAGGGGACACAAAAAATAAACGGTAGTAATAATGGCAGCTTTCGAACCATCTTACATGTTTTATGTTGCGAAAATCGGCTCGTCCGAAAAATCGAATTTTTCATTTTCCAAACGAGCCTGTCATGTTGATATTGGCACATGGGATGAAATTAAAATCTTTTTTTCGTGATGTTCACTTGTTGTAGTTCGACAGCTCAAGGACAGAGAACTCTTTTGTTCTCTTGGTACATTTTTTGCTCTCTTCTTTCTACGTAGTTGAATTTAAAAGGCTGTTGAACAAGTAAGAAGCTGCGTACCTTAACCAGTTATTAAGCTACTATCACCGGCAAAAGCGAATGCCACTGGTTATTGTCTACATAGTTTTTCAGTGGAAGAAGCTGGAAGAGTAAGGCAGTTTGCAGTTTTTAAAGAAAATAGACAGTTAGAACTACTATACGTTTCAAAAAAAGAATGTCCCTGATTATTTTTCGAATAACTTTTGATAGAAAGTAGGTAAAGAGATTTAAGCAAACCGTCCTCTACAAAACCCCCGAGAGCTCGTTTTTTTCTGTTGGCCCGTTCTAGATAGGAAGCGATTCTCCGAGGACGACCCGAACTCACGCTTTTTTCACTTATAATATCGAACGAAGACTTCCCAAATAGGTTTTTGACTATGCTGATTCACGTGGCACTGTTTGTTTTTACTTTGAAACAATTGTTGATCGCGATACAGCACTGATTACAGTTCGAACCAAGAATTTATTCATAAAATAGCGAAAATTAACAACGAAGTACCTGTAGAAAATAAAAAACAACAGAAAAATTTAGTCTTCCTCCGAAATCTCCTCGTCTTCTTAAAAATCATCATTATCTTCATCCACTAAATCTTTTTCTAATTTTCAGCATAGCTGTCAGCTTTCAGGCTGAAACAGATGGGTGTCAGTTTGCAATATTGATGTCGGACAACACACATACACATTAGTTCTCACTTATGTCTAATCGAGAAGGATAGAATACTTATTCCTTCTATCAATCTTCTACTTGTATGATATTAAAATCAGACAAACTATTCTTTTATTCTTGGAAACAGCAGTCAGTTTCAATAAACAGTTATTTTTATCAAAAAAACAACGGACGACGAGGACACTTTAGCATTTGCTGACGACGAGAATTCGGCTAATTTAGCTGAATGTCATATATTACTTTATGGGCAAAGGAGTGTTTCACATCATTTTGAATCCTCTTATCGAAAATGGAAGGCATTATATAGCTGGAAAAGAGCTCAACTACAACAACCTTCATCTCCAATCGTAAGAACTTAGTTTCGACGAGTTAAAACAGCGATGGAAATTGCACAGCTTAGACTTTCCT